GAGATACGGAGACTAAGAAGAAGAAGAAGAAGAATAAAAGAGAGACAAAAGTAGAAGAAGAAAGAGAAAGAAAATTAAAAAAAGAAAGAGAGGGAGGGAGACGGAGAGAAGAAGAAGAGAGATAAGAGAGAGCGCGAGGCAACCGAGAGAAATAAAGAGAGAAGAATAAAAAAATAAAAAGGAGAATACATTGGGAACACGTGTACACGTGTCTAGCAAGTGTCGTGAGAATCGCTTTAGAGCGATTGTGAATAGCATTCCTCATATTTCTTTTATGTCTCTATAAATAAGACTGCGAAAGCACTCTTGTAGCATAGCGCTCTGTTATTTTTTATGTAATTTGTTTCTCAACCTCTCTTCGTCTCTCGCTCTCTGAGTTGATGCGTCTGTGTGTTTCATATTTGGGGCAGTGATGAAGAACTGAGGAAGTCATGCACCAAAGTAGTATATAATAACTCTTCCCACATATAATTTATCTTGGTAAGTGTTAGATTAATACCTTATGATTTGTGTCCGTTATTAAAAAAATGTTAAAAAGCTCCCAACCCCAAAACTGTCTGGAATATGATATTAAGATGAATTGTTTAATGAGATCGATGAAGAAGATGGGGAACATCATTGAGTTCATATATTAATTCTCTAATCATTCTTGGTCACATGAAGAAGTTGGGATCTTCATGCTTAGCTTAGCTGCGAAAAGATGAGAGAATTTTTTTCATATTTTTTTTTCTTGGCCCTCATTGATTGCAGGCTTTGACTGGATATTCTTGTCAACAAAAGGTCTCTAGTTTTTTGTTGACGAATCAAAGAAATCGGGTGGAGGTGGGTTGAGGAGAGAGGGGTTGCCTTGCGAAAAGGGTTTTGTTTGGTGTGAAAAGTTGGAGAGAGAGACAGAAACAACATAATGGTTCTTCTTCTAGACTGGACTGGACATGATTCATGATTCATGAAGATGAAGTGCTGCTTGCTTCATCTTTCTCTTTTTGCCATCTCATTTTCCACCTTTCTTCTTCTTCTTCTTTCCAAGTTTGGGGTTTGCGTGGTTGGTCTGCGTTTCAACCAAGAAATGATTTAGTTTGTGCAAAGAAATTGAAAACGATTGGAAATATGTACCACCATGATGTATACCTAGCAGCCTAGCTGGACCCCGCAATTGTGAGGTTGGATATCTAGGTAGAATAGCAGGAACCACAAGGGGATTATTTAGGTGGGCCCATCTCTTTGCTAATTTGACCATAGTGGGCCATTATGGCTTTCTAATAATCCCTGAACTTGAAACAGATGAGCCTTTTAAGAAGGATAAACTATAAAGCCCAATAAGTTGATGAACAAAATTAGGGTTTGGCTTGGGTTCGTCCATTGTCTTTCCAAACAAACAACAACAAAAAAACCCCATTAATTTGATTCTATGTGTGATAAAAATGGTTTATATAAGTTCTAATAGATAATCTGATAACATAACATATTACAGTTGTTGATTAAACTTGAAACCGAAACTTTTGTGGAGTAATAAGACGGAGTGGCTTTTAAATTTGTGCTCTAGTTGGTAACACGAATGGGCCTTATTGCCTTTCCAACAATTCAGCCTTCTCATAAATATACACAGAAACACGGTATAGTTGTGTATTTCTTGCTCAAAAACATTCCTTGTAAATCAGATAAATTACTGAAATTGTATGTGAATATGTCATTCCCTTAGAAGATAAGTCCTCCCAAGCTATGCACTGTCATGGAGTGCACTTGCAAAACATTGTTACAGCCTGATGAATACAGCACACTAAAGCCAAACAGTGATTGAAAAAAAAAAACCTAAAAGAACCCATCAGCGGGGAAAGCAAAAGGCTTGAAGAGAAATCGATGTGGGGGGGCACAAATTGAAACTGCTGCACATACTGAGATCAGTGCAACTTATGTTTTTGCTTGAGATGCCACTCTGTTCGTGCTCGTACTATCTCCGCCTTATCGGCCTGCATCCGAAGCAGATGCGTGTACTCTAGGTCGGGCCTACGGTTGATGGAGTTGTTCTTGCAATTGGAGTCTTCAGCCAAACTTGCTGTTGCACTTGTCATGGACTCTAGCAAGTTTGATTGCCTGCATTCACGTCTATACTCCAATGTCATACTTGTGAGATCATAATCTCCCAACACATTGATAGGCACACTCTGCTTAATAAAACACAAATGAATTCTGATTTAGTACCGCGTAATTAAAATGAAAAATGTTGCATATAAGAGCAGCTTGTGTTATGTATTTTTAAGTACCTCCAAAATCCATCCAATGTATTTCACATTGTTTACATGCTGGTTGGCATCCATGTCACTCCATCTAGGCTGGGATAATTGCAAGTCGGTTGTTAATATATTAAGATGCTAACCAATTAACAACATTGCATGAAATTTTGATAAGTTTGATAGTTTGGTGGTCTTATATTTTTCTAGACTTACTGCTAAGCCTGATCGGATCCTCCCTGCAGTGCCGTCGGTGAGCTTGTCGATTTTTTCGCTATCATTTTTCTCAGTGGCAACTGCAACTCTGTTTAGGTAGAATGGTAGCACTTCCTGTCTCACTTGTTCTGGAATCTTGGACAGCCTTCTTGTTTCTCTGTTCATGATCACCCAAGTGCTGCACGACAGATAAAAAAATTGGAGGTCAGCTAAGCTATTTAGAGTTTTAAGTTTGGATAAATTATAAATTAAGCAGAAGAAGCTAGACCTTGTAGCTCTTGTAATGATTTCTTGAGTCTTGTAGTCTCGGATGATCCAATCCCTGCGCATTCCATTTTTGCCTGCTGCATCCACCCAAGTATCTATTTCAACAACATCTCCCCTGTCACATAACCCATTTTAGTGCATTAGTGGAGTGGGAGTAATGCTAGAGAGACCACATTTTTAGTGTTGACGACGTTGTCTTGGGCGCAGAGCTAGCCTCTTGCGAAAATATTATCAATTATTATGTCTAGTTGTTAATAAAAACATAAACTGCCACATAATATGGCATGTCATACCAGGAGCTATATCTCTGTACTTGAATGTGGATGCGGGTGACGACCCAAATAAGCTTCCGGATGCTCATCTCACGGGTAGCACCGAACCCGTTTCCGGCCAGGCCAGAGCTTGTCACATGATTTAGAGCTGTTTCCTGCAACCAATGGTTTTCACAGTTAATGAAAATATAAACTCTAGACTTTCATGATTAAACTCTCCTAACTAATGACAATATGTTCATTAATTTCACAATGAGCAAAAATTACAAAGGGCTATCCCTCTCAGATAGAGACATAAAAGAGTAAAAAAAAAAAAAAAAAAGGACCTGAAGGAGATTCATGAGTGTTTCCATGGTGGCAGTCTTGTCTGGTCCAATCTCATAAGACCTGATTACGAAGGTCTGCCTATAAACAAACCTGCCCTCAACAAAATTTCCATGCAAAGAGGAATGAGCAGGTGCATCAATATCACTATCTTTAATTAACTCTGCACTATTTTTGTTTCCAAACAATGTACCCTCTCCCACATGAACCCCATTGACCTTTCCATTGATGGTCTTCACACTTCTAGGAGTTCCTCCGGCGCTGGTTCTCACCGAAAACTTTCCATTTTTGCTAGTGACCATTGCTACACGCCTCGAACGATAAAACCCCAATTTGGTAGCCATCTCATTCTTCTCTGCCTTGCACATGTCCCTTGGAAGGCATAGTGTAGCAATGTTGTAAGTTTTTGCTGCCATTGATGCCATAATTTCTAAGCGCTCATTTGGTTGATCAGAGATATTAAAAGAAATAAACCCAACAAAGTTTCAAGTTTGATAAAAGAGGGTGATCTAGCTTTTTTAGCACTTGTTGAAGAAAGAAAATTTGTCAAATATTAGTAGTAGGTGTAACCACTTAATAGCAGGGCAAAGGGAAGATTTTGTCTTAAAATGGAGGAGGCCATGGGATTTTCAGCTCAACCACTTCAATGGGTGGGGGAGAAATGTGGAGGGCCTGCACCATTGGCTTACACGCCAATGTATTTAGTGGTGTTTTTGTGCATGTTTACAAGGGAGTTTTTAATAATAGATAACTTGGGGAAAGGTAATTTGGATTAATTAGTAACTCTACCATTGATTATGTTGTTTAATTTGGTCTTACTATTATGTTCTTGCAAGAAAAAAGGTGTACCTCTAAACAATAAGCCTTGTTTTGGTAATCTGCCTTCCAACTTTGGCTAGGCAGAGCATTTGAGATTGCTAGGAATACAAAGCATTCGTTAACAAAACACAACACTTAGCCTCGAGAAGAAAGCCCACAGAAATGCTTGGTCAAGCAAGACATGAAATTTTCATACCCTTTTTTATGCTACTTCCATGAAAGCCCACTTTCCATCCTTGGTAATGCAGAGCATTGGTCATCAGAAACCCAAATCAGATTTAGCCCACAAAGATGCTTGTTGACCATAGACCAAATAAGTTGCGTTGTAGGGGGGTTGAAATCCTAATCCAGCCCTAAAGAGAATCGTAGTTACAAGTTACAACCGAGTGTATATACTTTTGTGTCTATAACACTCATCACGTTACTGTTGCATTCACCCGGTGAGAAGATAGATTCTCTCTTAAGCATGATGGAATCATGGATGAGAGTTGACACTAATCAAAACCTCAAATTAAATATTTAACAAACCCTATCAAGAAGCTTAAGATAAATCATTACCCCCACCTTCGGATGATCCGTCTGGACCGGCCATGTTAAAAAGTAAAAGCAATTTGGACCGTCATCCTACGGCACGTGTCACCGACGTCGACTAAAAAAAACAGAAGAAAAACATGAACACGTGGCTTGTGTCTGGGGCAAAGAACAAAGCCTGAAAGCCATTGTGTCATTTGAGGGAAATGGCAGAGCCCAAGGCAGCCACACACGCACCTGACCAACCTGATGAGACCACAGTGTGCTTTCAGCCTCTAGATTGCGAATGGGCGGTGCTAAATCCACATCGACACGTCCAAGGCAGAATCCGATACTTGCTCTTCTCCTGCCACGTGTCCTCTTCCTCTTATCATATAAATACATATAGCAACACCCACAACCACCTTCCAAAATCACATCAATTGTCTTTATTCCCAGCTCTGAACAGTGAAACCCTTTTCTCACTGGCTTAGTTTTCTGCAACCAATCCCTCTAGTTTGTGCTTTCAATTTAATTTCTTGGTGTTATTTTTTTTCCTTTTGGAACCCACAAAGAAAGAGAAACAGAACAATGGGAAAAGCCTGGACCATGCTTACCCAACTTCATTCACTGGCTGGGTAAGACTTTAATTTCTTTTACTGCTTTTTTCATCTTCTTTTTTGGGTTAATTTTCTTTCCAACATGTATTAATTTTGTGCTTTATCACTTTATCTAATTCCCAATGCTCTTGGAATTTTTTTGCAGGCCAGTGGTGACGTTGCTTTACCCCTTGTAAGCAGCTCCTCTCTCTCTCTGTCTCTCTCTGTATCAAGTTTTTATTTTTGCATTTTTTTTCATTATATTAATAAAACCCAGTAAGGGGATGAACTTATTCTTGATTTTTTGTGTGTGTTTGATTATAGATATGCATCAGTGATAGCCATAGAGAGCACATCTAAGCTAGATGATGAGCAGTGGCTTGCTTATTGGATCATCTACTCTTTCCTCACTCTATTGGAGATGGTACTCCAACCAGCTCTAGAGTGGTAAGAACAAATCATAAAAGCTTCAAGAATAAACAGATACTATCAGAAACTAAGTTTATGATTGGAAAATGGAATTTGCAGGTTACCAATTTGGTACGATGTGAAGCTTGTGTTTGTGGCATGGTTGGTTCTTCCACAATTCCAAGGGGCAGCTTTCTTGTATGAGAAATATGTGAGAGAGCAGCTCAAGAGGTATAGAGATGGGAGAGATCATCCTCAATCCTCCCACAAGTCCCCTACTGGGAAAGGAAAGAACAAGTTTGTGCAGTTCATGACCCCCAAGAATGTGAGTTCCTTCTTTTGAGACTGGCCTTTCTTCTTCTTGTCTATAATATAAGATGAGACACATGTTATGAGAAATCAGTGTTCTATCACTTTCTGTTCAAATGGGGTTCATACTCAAATCAGTGTTCTATCACTTTCTGTTCAACCCCCACTAATAACTGTGGAAGGTGTTTCTTCACACACACTCACACATGCCCAACCTAAGATGTGTTGCTTAAAAAGAAGGGAGGCTAGTTTGATTTGTATCGGTTAGGTGGTCTGTTTTTTGGGGCTTGCAAGGAAGGCTATAATCAGTTGTCTTTTACTTTAGTGGGCCTTATGAAGTTGGTTTGTATCAAGTGGGGCTGCTCTTGAAAAGAGCCCAAAAAAAAGGAAAAAAAGAAAAGCGATAGTCTAATTCACAGGGTTTATGCATTAGAACGTGAAGTTTTTTAAAATGTTTCCTTGAATTTTTAACCTAAAGAAAACGACTGTGATGCAATGGCTCTTCATGGGTTGAGAAAAATTATGTGAAAAGTTTAGGCTTGAAATTGTTTCGCTTTTCATGTTGCAAGATATGCAACTAAATGGTCACAAATTACAACCACAAAAAGAAATAAAAGGTTAAGGAAGAAGAAACAACAAAGAAAGGGAAAAAAGAAAGTAAAAGACCCTCTATAAAATGGCACCCGAGGAATTGGGATTCGCACCACCTTTGAAAATGTGTGTGAATGGAATTGGGATGCTACCAAGTAAAAACAGCCTTTCTAGTTTTGAGCCCATATCAAATCAATCTGTGGATTAATTTCCAGTAGTGCTAACTTTTAAAAGCTTCATTTTTTGTGGGAATATTTTGGTTGCTTTGTACTCTGGTGTACTGTATACATGTACGTACACTGTACACATCCATCACATGCATGGCATGTGGGCTGAGCAAGGAAGAATCACCATGTAATTAGATTAGGCATCCACATGATCCACATCCGCATCCATTTACCAACTTTTAGAAAAGTTTTTCGGTTCTTTAGGCACCAAGAATTAAGAACTAATTAAGCACTAATTAGCATGCAAGTTGGGTTGTTTTTAAATTATTAAGAAACAAATGATAATTTTGAACTCCTTTGACTAAATACATGTTGGATTACAGCACTAATCTCCTTTTATCTTAGGAAGGAGGAATCATACACGTACATACTCTTTAGAAATGGAAAAGTGAGAGGGAAAGGAGAGGGTGTTGATTTGTTTGTTTTTAGTTTTATTCGTTATAGAAACGATCGTCCAAACTACTTTAATTTAGAGGGAGGAGGTTATGAGAAATCAGTGTTCTATCACTTTCTGTTCAAATGGGGTTCATACTCAAATCAGTGTTCTATCACTTTCTGTTCAACCCCCACTAATAACTGTGGAAGGTGTTTCTTCACACACACTCACACATGCCCAACCTAAGATGTGTTGCTTAAAAAGAAGGGAGGCTAGTTTGATTTGTATCGGTTAGGTGGTCTGTTTTTTGGGGCTTGCAAGGAAGGCTATAATCAGTTGTCTTTTACTTTAGTGGGCCTTATGAAGTTGGTTTGTATCAAGTGGGGCTGCTCTTGAAAAGAGCCCAAAAAAAAGGAAAAAAAGAAAAGCGATAGTCTAATTCACAGGGTTTATGCATTAGAACGTGAAGTTTTTTAAAATGTTTCCTTGAATTTTTAACCTAAAGAAAACGACTGTGATGCAATGGCTCTTCATGGGTTGAGAAAAATTATGTGAAAAGTTTAGGCTTGAAATTGTTTCGCTTTTCATGTTGCAAGATATGCAACTAAATGGTCACAAATTACAACCACAAAAAGAAATAAAAGGTTAAGGAAGAAGAAACAACAAAGAAAGGGAAAAAAGAAAGTAAAAGACCCTCTATAAAATGGCACCCGAGGAATTGGGATTCGCACCACCTTTGAAAATGTGTGTGAATGGAATTGGGATGCTACCAAGTAAAAACAGCCTTTCTAGTTTTGAGCCCATATCAAATCAATCTGTGGATTAATTTCCAGTAGTGCACTGCTAACTTTTAAAAGCTTCATTTTTTGTGGGAATATTTTGGTTGCTTTGTACTCTGGTGTACTGTATACATGTACGTACACTGTACACATCCATCACATGCATGGCATGTGGGCTGAGCAAGGAAGAATCACCATGTAATTAGATTAGGCATCCACATGATCCACATCCGCATCCATTTACCAACTTTTAGAAAAGTTTTTCGGTTCTTTAGGCACCAAGAATTAAGAACTAATTAAGCACTAATTAGCATGCAAGTTGGGTTGTTTTTAAATTATTAAGAAAATAAATGATAATTTTGAACTTCTTTGACTAAATACATGTTGGATTACAGCACTAATCTCCTTTTATCTTAGGAAGGAGGAATCATACACGTACATACCCTTTAGAAATGAAAAAGTGAGAGGGAAAGGAGAGGGTGTTGATTTGTTTGTTTTTAGTTTTATTCGTTATAGAATTAAGCATGATTTGTATACAACTCTCTTCTGGTGTTGATTCAATTGAATATGAAAACAGGAGACCATTTTGATGGAGTATGATTTTAATAATTAAGGGCTGGTTTGGGATTGCTTCTTTAGGAAATACTTCTACTCGTAAGCACTTCCAACAAAAGCTCTTTTATTATAAAAATCTTGAATTTTCATTTAAAAAAAAATCCAAATGCTTCTTGGAAAAACACTTGAGAGTGTGTAAGTTGCAATGAAAAACCATTCACTTAGTGCTCATAAAATGATTATAATTAAGCATGATTTGTATACAACTCTCTTCTGGTGTAGATTCAATTGAATAGGAAAACAGGAGACCATTTTGATGGAGTATGATTTTAATAATTAAGGGCTGGTTTGGGATTGCTTCTTTAGAAAGTACTTCTACTCGTAAGCGCTTCCAACAAAAGCTATTTTATTATAAAAATCTTGAATTTTCATTTAAAAAAAAATCCAAATGCTTCTTGAAAAAACACTTGAGAGTGCTTCTCGAAGAAACATATAGCAGGTGCTTCTTTAGGATGTGTTTCTATAACGCATAAAAGCTTCTAAACTTTTCTGCCAAATGCTGTCAGAAGCGCTCTTGTTATCAGAAAGCACTTTTAGCTCTTTCAAAAGCACTCCCAAATATGCCCTAAATATCTACTCATAAAAGAAATTATAGAATATTACGGTAGTACGACCACGTAATACATCTTGTACACGTGTTATAACATGACCTCGTGTTATAATATTGTAGTATTGTATAATCACTCCTACTCACACCCCTCAGGTTACCCTTTTTTTTTTCCACTCAACAATGTCCCATCTAGTTGAGGAATTATGCGAGCAAAAAGCCAACAAAGCCTTCAATCAAACGTCCAGGAAAAAGAAGGGAAAGACAATTATGCATATGCTTTCTACGTGGACTGCTTCTCCTTTAATAAATTTCATGAACAAAGAGAATCTATCTATAGCCCCAGACACCATCAAAGGCTCAAACTCATTCCTTAGCTTCATCAGTGAAGCTGATCATAAATTCTGAGATTCTGTTACGAAATATTAATAAAAATTTGCAAGCAGGGGAAAAGCAGGTAGCCTGAGAAGCAAAAGTAACCAATAAAACACCGATCAATCTCCCACGACTTTACAAAAGTCACCTTCCCATATAAAGTAATAATTTGATGAATCTTAATTACCAAAGAAACCCCATTTCACCCACTATATAAACCAGTGTTTGCAAATGCTCTATGGTCAGGCAGATGAAAACACCCCCTCAATCTTTTTTCTTGTTCTTCTGAGATTCTCCTGCATCATCAGAATTACCTCTAGTCCCTTAGGCAAAAATGGATACCATCAAGATCCTGAAGTTCCAAGCAATGCACAAGCACAGCAAGAGGCATCACCAGCCTTTGAGCAATCTCTTCCTTTATACTATGACAGCATTAACTTGCAGTCTGTTTTGTTTTAGCCCTTTATGGCTTCCCTCTTTAACTTCTTCCATGAAGGCCTTTGTCTTTGTTTCTGTCCCAAAAATCAGTTCACTGTTTTTGAGCTCCAAGTTTGTGTTCATACTAGGCAATCTCATTGTTGTTGCCCTTGTTGGAGAATCCAAAATCTTTTCCAGAGTCTCTTCTGCATCTAATATTGTTGACCAATATGAAAGCATGAAAAGGTCCCAAACCCTTCAGAGCTCTTCCACTCACCACCAAAAGGAACCCAAGAATCTAAGTACTTTTGTGGAAGAAAAGGTGCTGCTGAAGAGGACTTGTGGAGATGAAGAAGCTATGGAAGGGAAAGGATGGGATGAAGAAAGTGAGGAAGTAGTGGTGAAGGTGAAAGAGGATATAGATGAAGAGGAAGATGATGATGATGATCAGATATTGAACCAAAGAGCTGATGATTTTATTGCAAGGGTCACTGAAAGAAGGCTGTTTGAATTGGAGCTAGACAACTGCTTTTGTAACAGTGAAAAATGAACTTTAGTGGTAGAATAGTTATAGGTTTAGTAGCAATTAAAGCTGAAGAAGTACTCTTTTTCTTATGTTTTTCCAACCAGTATGGTCGGTTAGTAACAAGATAGTGATATGTTTGCATGTAAATTTATGACTCCTTGTTCAAGTACATATTCAATTGTCGTCCTATACTACTTGGTAAGAAAAGCAACTGTGTTTCGTTGGTTTGGTGGCTCGGTTTGGAGTGGATTATTTATTTCTATTAAATTGAAATAGTGTCTTGATCGTTGTATACCAAACGAGATTGAACATATATGTTAGAATTTAAAAAACGGAATTAATTCTGCTGCTGATCTGAAGAGCAATGAACGTTGTTCAACAACAAAACTCAATCTGATTCAAGGTGCCATAAAGCTTAAATCTCCAACAAAATCCAAGCTTTCTGCTCTTATAACTTTTTGTAATGTTATTATCTTTAGACGAACACAGAAAGTCACCTTTTTCTCCCTTCTCTGAAATTCCTGTGGCAGTGGGTTTGGGGAGTACACATGGGACTGCAATGCTTACTAATACAAGCCCAA